TGGACCACAAACTCAGGGTTTACTATGAAAGTGACCTGACCTTGCTCTTTAGAGAGTTTTGCCAACCAATTAACCATTATCTCAGACAAGAGCACTCCAAGTATTAACTTTTTCGAACTCTTTTTAGTATTCTACTTTGGGATGTGCTTAAACACAATCCCTCAGAGTGAACTGCTTTTCCCTCACCTCTCTTTATTTCCCCCTAAATTTACATTCACCCAGCTCTCCCTACAGGCAGAAAAGGCTGGGGGTATCTAGGTTGAAATTTTAGCACATCATAAGTCACCTGGGTCTGTAAAAGTCTTTATTATAGAGACTTTCTTCCCAGGGCTGGCATTAACCTTTCTGCTGAACATTACACTTTCCCAAAAGATCCAAACACATCACAGGACATACAGAAACACAACAACTTCATACACATTTATCACCTCCGACATAAGCAGCAGATAATTTTTCTGGGGGAAAAAGCCCCAAACCAAATCCAAAATCAAACCTGTTTTTCTCTTGTATCACCTTTAACCTCAGGACATTGATCAAATGAAAACTTTAAATGGTATTTTCTCGTAGCCCAAACAGCAGTGCAAGTCTAGAGAGGGCTGTGAGTTGTAAATAATCAAAAGGCAAAGGCTGATAAATGGCTGATTATTTGCAAGCACTGCAAATAATTTTCATTTCTGCCTTTAGAAGTAATTCCTTCACACTTATTTAGTGCTTTACTGGTCATTTATTCGAAAAGAACTTTGTGTTTTCTCAGCTAAAGCATTCCTTGGAAAAAGAATGCCCTGCAAAGGGCAGTTGGAATTTGCAAGGCTGAACTGGGGTTGTGTGTAGACTAAAATACTACATGTAGTGATAGGTGTGTAGAAAACTCCTCTGGAAGGAGCCTGCTCCTTTGTGAGACACAGCCCCCACGGCTGGGTGTGCAATTTATGAGGGCAAGGAGCAAGGGAAAGATAAAATTTCCACTTCAGCCATCTTTCACTGTTATTGCTTTTGATTGTTTTGACAGGGCACATTAAAAAAAAAAGTGTCTTATTTTTACCTTCTCTGTTTTTTGTTCTACTTCCCTTGGATAGCAGGTCCTCTGAGCTAAAACCCACATCACACACATTAAATAGCAGCAAATCTGATTACAGCACAGACCTGGGAAGGGTCTCCAATAAAACCACACTCACATCCCCGTTTAGTTTCCTGATGAGAAAATTCCCATTAAGGAGAAACGAAACCCATTTCTGGCTCAGCCCTGGAAGGCAGCACAGCCCCTCCAAACCAAGAGCAAACAGTTGGCATTAACCTTCCCTCTTTCTCAAACGTGCATATGCTGAAAAAACTGAGTGGTTTTTCCTGTTCTATGGACTGAACCCAACTGGGTTTAATTGTGCCACGTTCCCAGAGCAGAGTTTGTGTTTAAAGGCAGAATTGTTTCTTCTTTGCCTACGCAGGAGCAATATTGAGACAAAATATTGAGCAAATCCTCCGTGGCACTGGGCTGTAACTGCAGTGATCCATTGCAGAAAGAACATTCTATTTGACAACTTTATCCAGACACTGACACCAGGCATTCACTTGGTCTCCACGTTTTAACTTTTACTTGAAAATTACACGGAAGTTTTGTTTAAAAAAAAATAAAGTAGTGAACACAGTTTCTTTTTGATATGAAACTATTTAGCATTTTTAATGCTTACTATTTTTTCTTTAAGGATTTAGGAAAAAAAAAGAATTTTGAATATATTGTTTCTGCAAGGCAATACTGCTCCTCCAAACACACAACAAGGCTCCAATTTTACTTTAAGTGCTTGCAAAATTAAGACCCTAAAAGCCAAGGGTGTTAACATAATACACTTATTTTATAAAACTGGAGACAAAGGAATCTTGAAGAGATGGAAGAAGGCTTCCTCAAAACACAGACCCAACCTCTCTTTACTTCAAAATAAATATATTCACATTATTTTTAAAGGTAAGTTGTGACAACCTTGTTGATTAGTGCAATTCATGTGGCAGCATTCGCTTTTCCCTTGCTCTGTACTGCATACTGAAAATAAGGCAATTAAATGAGAAAATTAATTCCATTAATTAAAAATGTTCAGTCTCAAGCAAGACAGAATGATCTGAGTGAGAATTACAGCTGTATAAATGTACATAAACCAAAATGTTTTCCTTGACATGTGCTTTCCTTTAGGAAGGATAAATTTTGCAGCACAAAGCAATGATAATGCTATTTTAACAGCATCATAAAGCTGGAGAGAGATATATAAAAGGTCTGTTTTATCTTTTAAAGAGAAACCCCCTGATATACATAGGAAAATTTACAAGTAAAATACCACCCTTCCCACAAATTCCTTACTGGTGAGCCTGAGTGAAAACTCTGGTCAGGTCAGGAAAGAAAATCATTAAACTTTGCTGAATCCATAAAGTACTGTAGCTGGAGTTTCAATACAGATCATTTTATAGTAAAATTAAAATAGAAGCCCTTTTTAATTATATAAAGTGTGCACATTATTACTGAGGAGAGAAATACACGCTTTCCTCAAGAACCATAAAATTGGCTGCTGGGAATTAGACTTCAGCTGCAATTATTATATGGTCCTATAAAGGATATTGAAAGTCTGATAAAATTGCACCCTTGTCATGTAACAGCAATGCTTAATGCTAAATAACCACTCTGCAGCATTCCAGGCATAGCTTCCCCCAAACATCATCCCTCCCTTCTCACACCGAAAAGAAAACACAGCAGCATTGGGGAGCTAAAAGTGTACCTAAATATTTGAAATACCAAATGAACAGGTCAAAAGATATGTAAAGCCACACAGAGGCAAAGCAACACATGTGATAAATGAATACTGATGGCTGTTTATAAAGGAGAGCTCTCCATGGATACCCACCCAACCCTCCATGGACACTGCCCAACTGTAGCAGACTACACAGGATGAGGGGGGCAAAGAAAAGAGCAACACAATGAAGCAGAGTGACAAAGACCAGTGCCATACATTCCTAATGGCTGCTTGCCTTCTCCTTGCAGTGTGTTGTAAACTGTGAGTATTTGTTACTCCTGCACACAGCTACAGGAGAGTGGCTGGACTTCTCCTGGAGGACCTGGAATTTACTTTTACCTCAGACCTCCAGGTAAGAGCACGGGTGTAAAACTTGGAGATATTTCTCATCCCACAGACTCCACTGCACTCCCAGCTCAGCCAGGCTGAAGTTTTTATGTGTATTAAGAATATCAAAGAAATATTTCTGTGACAGGTGACATAAGGCACGTGCAGGGGACGGCGGGGCAAGAGAGGCTGTGGGGTGTGGGAGCAGGGCTGTAAATTTTGCTCCCGCAAATGAAGGAAAAGAGAAAATTCTTTCTCCTACAAAGAAGTCCTGACAAAGTCCCTCACCATTTCAACAGCATGGGTGAGATATAAATCCTACCTTCTCCTCAAGGCTTGGTCTGATCTGCTGCTCAGATCCCAGCACATGTGATGGTGCCAGGCTTCAGGAGAAGCCTCTGCACAGGAGCACCCGGAGGATCCCACCCAGCTCTGGTTTGACACCACTTCTCAATCGTGAGAAAAGCCAGACTGTTCCAACTCAAACCTGCTCAGCTCCCCAGTCATGGCAGGACACTGCAGTGGGTGTTGGTGTGGAGGTGGAGGGGCTGCAGTGCCTCTCCCCAGCCTCGCTGCTGCTCTCCCAGGCTGCAGATGTGCTGGCAGTGATTTCCTGGAGGGGTTTGTCCCCAAGCCAGAGCTGTGGGTGCCCGTGCCAGGCAAACTGCCCGTGATGGGGGGGACCCTCTCCGAGGTACCCACTCCTGGTGGCCAAAGGGAGCTGCTCTGTGTTCAGTGAATGTCACTGAGACTCCCCAAGCAGGAAATAAGTGAAGGAAAACCCACAGACCATGGCTGACTAACCTAAAAACAACATTTCTGAGGCAGCTGTGGCCCAGGAAGAGCGTGGTGAGTCCCTGCACCTCCACAGAGGGACTGGACACTGCTCAACTATGAATGGGAAAGCATAAAACAATACATTTGTTAGCTCAGACTGAGCATCTGAAAACACTGACCTTTCAACCAGTTAATCATTAAATTAAAACATTAAAAAATTAATTTTTATTTGAAGCATGCATGAAATGTGCTTCTTAAACAGTAAAACTAGTAAAGGCCAGGGTACTGTGAAGCTTTAAAAGTATTTAAAAGTATTAATTACACCTCAAAACCCCTCTTGAGGTATTTTGAATATTATATATATATATATAATGTTAATGTTTAATAAAACTATAAAATGACACACAGAGTCATGTGCCAACAGCTCAGTCAGGCTGAGATGTGGCAGTGGAGACTTGGTCTTCTCACTCCCTCTTAGCTGTGGGTACAGCTGCAAAAAGAAAAATCTGTTCAGGCAGTTATTTATTTACCACTGGGGAAAACAAAAAAAATCAAACTCCCAAAATGTAAAAAGACATGAACTGAAACCAAATGCCAAACAAAGAAAGTTCGGATGCCAAATAAAAGGGAAGTTGAAAACCCATACAATAAGGGCCTTTGAATAAAATTTATGGTCACACTTACACTGCACAGAACTGAAATTTGGTAGTGATTTACTTTTCAGTAAGGCTTTTTCTTTTGTTATTTTTGGAAGCCATGAAAAGTTTTCTCTATCCTTTAAAAGTACAAATATTGCTGTTTCTTGGTGAAGCTTCGAGATGCATTTTTTTTGTTAAAATTGTCTGAACCCTCTAACAAACAAAATACTGAGGATCACACAGTATCATAATAAATTGATTCATACTGATAAATTGATTCATACAAACATTAACATGTAGATGCAATGAGAAGTCCTGATATGTGCCACAGTTACAGTTGTCTCCATTAGAAACAATACAGGAGTTTATCAGTTCCAGAACAAAACCATCGCTCGTATTTACCTTATTAAAGGTAGGAAAAATGCCCAGTGGCATTCACACAAACACGAACCATTAGTTTCTCAGAATAAGGGAATAATTTGCTTACCTGGAACATCAATTAATCTCTTATAAACATTCAAGAAGGCTGCCTCTGCTTCTTTGCTTCGTTTACCCAATGCATCAATCTAAAAGGGGAGATGAGAAAACAAGCTTTAAGATTTGTTCCAATACAACTCTCACACTCAGAGCTATAAATACAAATTAACAATTTCATGTAAAACTAGTAAGTATATAAAGAGGGAACCCAGATCTCCTGTGTACATCTCCTACAGAAGTAGTCTTAAAAGACTGTTCCTGCTACATTTGTACTGAATATAATTTAAAGTCCATTTTTCAACCCAATAACAAGCATCAATATTTTCATGAACGCTCCTGCCTGTTGTGATTCTTTACTTTAAATCTTTATAAAAAGCCTGGTATTTGCCAGGCAGATTCTCCCCTTCAACAACTGTTTTCCTTTACCACTTATTGAGATCTAACACAGCAAACGGAACTGTGGCCACTTCTGATGTCCCACTCTGCCTTTATTGTGGTAAATAGATTTTTCTATTATTTCCAATAAGCCTGTGAGGAGATGAAAAGATGAACTTGTTGAGCACCCTTTGATACTTAACACTAAATCATTCTGAATCCTCTGCATGCAAGGAAATTTTCTAACACAGCTCAGGCACAGTCTGCACTCCTGAGCTCCTCTGACCTGCTTCTCCTTGTGTTCTGTAATACACACAATACTCATCTAAGAATTTATTCTTATCATTTTATCATTTTATTATTTTCCCCCTACGTCTGTGTCTTCATCTAAAACTCCATTTTACAAGGAAAGGCAGCTTAACAGCTCCAAGAATAAAATACTTATTCCACAGCAACTTTTATTTGGTAAACATGTATTTTCCTTTTGTACTAGAAACCAGAGGATTTTCTGTTGCTTCATATTGACAATAAACAACCCAACTGACTCAGGATCAGATCCAGTGAATTAATACTCCAGAGCAGAGGGACAGAAAGGGAAACAGGAAAGCCTGACACAGCTCTGTGGCAGCTTACCCAAATCAGGAAACCAAAGGCATGGAGATTATCGTTCCCATATTTTAATAAAAGGCAAGGAAGGATCTGAAGAACTGCGGATACAAAGGCCTGATATCAATTCTTCTGTGTATTTGAAAGGCAGGGAATATTATGGAACCATTTAAAGGTGCGGACGTCACCGCGGCCTAAAAAAAGGAAGGCCCTGTCTGAAAAACGTCCTTGAATTCTTTCTCTACATTATTGATTCAGTAGATAAGGCAGAAACAATGGCCAGAGTTTACTGTATCTGTATTTCAGGAAAGTATCTGATATTTTATTCTGCAGGAGGGGGATTTGCAGCACTGGGAAGCGTGTGACCAAGCCAGGGCTTTGCCAGGGCTCGGGAAGCGCCGGGTGCCCGGGAGAGGAAGAGGAGGGGAGATAAAACAGGAGGGGGCTGCGGGGTCAGCCCTGGTGCCAGCTGTGTTTACTTTGTCCTGAAATGCCTCTGTGGAGAGAAGTGGAAGATTTGGGAAGGGAGAGGGGGGCAATCCTACAGCATGGATGATTAAATTGAGTAGGGATCGGTGTTGGGTTAGGTGGATCAGGGTGTGGATCAGCCTCACAGCTTGTCAGGATCATTGCAGGCAGGATTGAGGCCAGAAAACCAAAGGACAAGGACAATCGTAGAAATCACCCAGAAGCACAATGCACAAGGTATAAGCCAAGAAAAGGCCTGGAGAAGAGGAGGGGTCAAGGAGGGAAATGAGGACACGGGCAGTGTCCACACAGCATTTGGCAGCAGCAGCAAGGAAATCTTGGGAGATACGGCGGGAGGCTGGGAAGAAACAAGTTCTGGCAACACAACACAAGGTTGTGTTTAAAGAAACAAACCAAGTTCCAATTTCACTTACATGCCCCCAAGATCCCGGATTAATTTATGGAGATGGGTGGAGGTGTGGTGTAACTGACCCCTGACATATCTGCAACTTATCAAAGGGTATTGGAAAAGTGATAAATGAACATCAGATGTCGAAATGATGGAGGATGTGGAGAGCAGACATAAATTCTCAAGAAGAGCTGGCCATGCTGATCTTTCAGAGTTTTCCAAGAAAGAGCACAGAAAGGCACTGGAATCTCCCAGGGCATCTGACTGACCTGCCACAGAACAAGGGACTGATGGTTGTGAACAACCCACTTAATAATCCCAATTCGAGCAATCACAGATGGACTGATGCTCGTTAGGGAAGGAGAACAGAAGCAATTTGGAGAGAACATTTTCACACGAGGAATACTTGAAAAGAGCCTGTGGAACGAAGTGCCAAAGGCAGGGAGGCCCCGGGATGTGTCAATCCATGCTGGGGATGGGGTGAGAAGGAAGGGGCAGCACCAGGGACACTTGTGCACTTGAGCTGTTTCAGGGGTGCACAGAGACTCTCTGAAGGCCAAACCACACCATATGTTACACTTCTGGACTTCAACGTTCCCACATACAATTTTCTCTCGCTGCTGCTCGGCAGAGAGCAGCCAAATTTAAATTACTATTATTAAACACAATTAGCATTACAGCACTGATTCTGTACTGTATTTTGAAAAAATTCATTTGCCCCTTTTATGAAAAGCAAAGCACTTAAAATGCTTCCATTTCTGGGAAATAACAGGATGGATTTGTTTTCCTATTACAGTTTTTCCACATTTTAATAAAGAGCATTTGTACTTTTATTCTCCCTAAGTATTATAGAAGGTATGGTTTATTTGCTCCTTACCAGTTATAGAGTGATGGAAATATAAACCAGATTTGAAACAACATCTTGCAAGGAGATCAGAGACTTTCCAAAGGAAGCAGTTTGTAAATCACAAGTATTTTACACCTTTTTTCACCCTCAGATTCAAAACCAGAATTCCAAACAATCCCACTAGGCAGAAATATGGTTTTATGTTTTAGTTGTTAAAAAAAATAAATCAACCTGTCTGGTTTAAAGTTCTACTAAAAATGAGCACTGCAACTATTTTATATCTTAAAATAAAATTTAGAAAAAGCACCATGACAACTTTAACTGGAATTAAAAATAATTAAGCATGCCAGCACCCAGGTGCATAAGGAAATAAGGAAATAGGAGGAAAAAGACATAAAAAAATAGCAAAATATAAATGAAGTCCAGAGAGAGAGGAAACAGAGCACTGAAATGACATGGAAACATTTGGAAGTTCACTGAAAATTTTTCAAATCAAAGTAAAATTGGTTCAGGAGCCAACAAGGCTGAGCTGCAATCAGCTCACATTAAACCGTTGAACTACATTATAAAACTCTTGCTGAACATTTTTATTTGGCTCTAAAAACTTCAGGGACCCTGAAAGAAGTCAACTTATAATTACACTCGCGTTGTCTTGACACGAGCTTAGCTCCAAATCTTAATTTATCTAAACCAGGCCCCATTATGTCTTCTCTGAGCAGAAAGAAACAACAGTGACCTCTGTATTCCCCACCACCCCCATAAACATATGTTCACTTTTAAGTTTTGGCATCCTATTTGTCTTGATAATACCACTGGCGCTGCAGTGAGATAACAGAGCTGAGACACCAGGAATCCTCCCTGCTCAGCACAGCCTTCATCTCACTCTTCATCCCTGAAACATCACTGCAGCTACGTGGAGGAGCTGTGGCCAGGCACCAGGCTGAGACCTGTCCTCCCTTTATCCACCTTGTTTTTCCAGGCCAAGTGCTCTCCTGAGTTGATGCTCAGGGTACCTGGAGGCTGAGTGTCTCCCCTTCCCCTCCAGAATCGTCTCCTTCCAACCTGCCCGTGAAGATGTCCGTGGTCTGATCCCACTCTCCCTCACTGACACTGCTGGACAGCCTAGCTCAGGAGCACTTGGTCCCAGTCTAATACCCACTGCACCTGGCTGAAATCAAAAGATCATCAACAAAATCCACAGATTTGTCTCCACATTTACGTGGAGACACCACATGCACCACCAATCTGGCACAGGGAAGGTGATGAACACAGCTTTATCTGAATGTTGCCTCTTTCAGCTATGTCCAGCCAAGTTCAGAAGGATAAAAGCAAAGCCTGTGGCTTTAGTTTGGAATCTGTCAGTTTTTATGCAGTAAGAGATTCCAGCATTAATTCAAGTCTGATGTTTAGTGCCCCATAATCTCCTGAGTCTGCAGGGCTGGGATGCTCTGGGCTCTATGAACGTGGCACGGCCTCATGGACTGCAGTCAGACTGAAGGATGCACACCTCTGCTCCTGAATTTAAAGATGGAACAGCATGATGAAGCTTTCTGCAAGGGAGCTGCACTGCCAGATGCCAGCACATCCTGCACCAACACTTGAATTGGCTGAAGTGAGGGATATCAGCACAGGAACACATCTCTGAGCTGGACTGGCACGTGCTGCTCCTCTTAGATCCACCTGGATCACTCAGCATCCCAAAGACAGCTCCCATGTGAGGAATTCCCAGTGCTGTGTCTGTCTGGCATTAGCAAAGCACTGGTGATTTACTCTCAGTACCACAAACACAAGTGTTCACACAACTGTGCTAAAGATGAACTTTGCAGTCCCATCTCTTCCATTTATCCTTATAGTTCTCCAAGTTAGTTCTCACTCTTGTTAACCACCTTAACATGTCTTTTACTGTCCTCCACACAATCTGGAACTAATTTATCAAGTAAAAGTAAATTATTTAAATGAGAAATTATTTTTCTGTCCTGATTTTTAGTAAATGGATGCCTTAAGGAGACACCCATCCCTTTTCCCCTACACATCTTCTGTCGTATTGTTTTGCATCACGAAGTTTTTCCATTTGTCTTCAATTACTACAAGTTACCAAAACATCATTAAGAACTGGAAGAACCATATGAAACAAAGGGAAAAGCATGAGAACAACTCATTAAAGCACCACTCTTTTAAGCCATGCTGTATTCTTGAATAACTGCCTTGGAATCAAATGGTGGCTCAAGCAGGATTATTAATGCATCAGTCTTGCTCTGAAGCCTTTACAATACAGTTGGCTTGATTTCCCTTTCTTAATACCAAGAGCTATCTACATTAATAAACAAATTAATAAAAATAACATTGTAATTTACAAATGAATAAAAATTTTTTCTCCATCCCTG